CGAGGAGCATGGCAGAGGAGGCTTTGCTGCTTCATCGTGGGAACAGGAAGACATCCATGCTCGCCGCGGTCGCACCTTCGGGCAACGCAGCCAGGAACCCAACGGACGTGAAGGGAAAAGCGTGGGGTGCAGTCACTCGGTGCCCACCAGCACCCAAACGTTAGCGCACCGCCTGGTGACATAGCTGGCCACGAGAGCCGACGCAGCCGCCCAGGGTGGCCCTAACGAAGGGCATCTCGGGGTATTCTCTCTCGGGACAGGCTGCGAAGCAGCTGTCGTCGCAACAGCGCAAATTCGTGGGGCTACTTGCCCCTGCTGCCTGGGTGGGCTTTGCGCACCACTCCCGTCCGCGTGCCACACGTCTTTCCTCGCGACCCCGCGCCTGCCCCCCCGTCCCCTGAGCTGCCCGGAGGCTCGGGCGCGCGGCGCCGGCCGTCTGCAGACAGGAGCTGGAGGGTGTCGTCATCCCCTCCTCCTCCTCCTCCTCCTCCTCCTCCTCCTCCTCCTCCTCCTCCTCCTCCTTCTCTGCTTCGAAATACTTGGCGGCGTGCCTGACAGAGCCAAGGTACGTGCGCCCTTCGACGCGGCCCCAGCTTCAGACGCAAGCAGAGGGAGCGACAGAGGGAGAGGCAGAGGGATGAGGTGAGGCAAAATGGAAAGTGGCAGAGAGAGAGGAGGGATAGGGAGGACGGGAATTGCGCGCCCCAGGGCCTTGAGCACGGAATAGGCGTGCCCGGCAACCAGCCCGTTGTCCAGCACGCCCTCACCGCACTTGCCGGCGCTCCTCGATCCGCCTCGACGGGGTGCCCAAAGGGGGGGGGGGAGGGCACACACCGAGTCAGCCGGGAGAAGGAGTGGTAGCAGAACCCGCATGCTAAATCCTCCACTGCCCACTGCCGCCCATCTGCCCCGTCGGGCCGTCGTCTCACGAATCCTTCAAGGAAGCGGCCTGAGCTCCGAAGCAGCGTGCCGTCTCTGGTAGCCTCGTGTAGGAGTCGGTCCATGACGACATTTGCGAAAGTTGTCCTATCTTCAAACGTTGCGGCCTCATCGGGCTCTTGTGGAGCGCTCCTCCCCCTCCTCCTCCTCCTCCTCCTCTCCTCCTCCTCCTCCTCCTCCTCCTCCTCTCTCCTCCTCCTCCTCCTCCTCCTCCTCCTCCTCCTCCTCTTCCTCCTCCTCCTCCTCCCTCCTCCTCCTCCATCCCCTCCCCTCTCCCCCTCCCCATCCTCGCCCCAATAATGCAGCAGCAGCAGAGCAGCAGCAGAGCAGCAGCAACAGCATCATCATCATCATCACCACCACCACCACCACCATCACCACCACCACCACCACCACCACCATCATCATCATCATCATCATCATCATCATCATCATCATCATCATCATCATCATCATCATCATCATCATCATCATCATCATCATCATCATCATCATCATCATCATCATCATCATCATCATCATCATCATCATCATCATCATCATCATCATCATCATCATCATCATCATCATCATCATCATCATCATCATCATCATCATCATCATCATCATCATCATCGTCATCCTCAGCAGCAGCAGCAGAATCATCTTCATCATCATCATCACCACCACCACCATCATCATCATCATCATCAGCATCATCATCATAAGCAGCATCATAAGCATCATCATGAGCATCATCATCAGCAGCAGCAGCATCGTCAGCAGCATCATCATCATCAGCAGCATCATCAAACTCATCATCACCATCATCATCATAATCATCGTCACCATCAGCATAAACAACATCATCAGCAGCATCACCATTAAAACCTCATCATCATCAACATGACGGTCGTCCTCATCATCATCACCACCGTCATCATCATCCGAATCGTCATCACCATCATCATCATCATTATCCTCATCAGCAACATCATCACCATCAGCATCATCATCAGCAGCATCATCAGCAGCAGCATCACCATCGTCATCATTATCATTATTATCATCGTCGTCGTCATCATCGTCGTCATCATTATTTTCATAATCATCACCATCCCGAAGTTATAATCATCATCAGCAGCAGCAGCATCAGCATCATCATCACAATCACAATCATTATCACCATCATCAGAATCATCATCACCATCATCATCATCAGCAGTACGATTATATCATCCTCATGATCACCACCACCACCATCATCATCACCACCACCATCATCATCATCACCAGTATGATCATCGCCTTTGTCGTCATCATGATCGTCATCATCATCACCACCACCATCATGATCATCACAGGCAACATCCACAGCATCATCATATGTAGCAGCATCCGCCTCATCATCATGATTACTGATACCATCAGCAACATCACCGTCATCATCAGCAACATCATCATCACCACCATCATCATCAGCAGCATCATCATCGTCATCGTCATCGTCATCATCAGCTGCACCAGCATCAGCATCCCTCCGCCTAAAACTCATCCCTCTCCTCCGCATCATGATCATAAGATTGCTCGTCCATGCTCCTGCTCCTCCTGCATCTCTTGTCCTTATTGATAAATCCACCCTGTCGCACACACATGCGTGTCAGTAGGGCTGGCCAGGCGTTTCGCCTGAGACTTCTTCACCGCGTATGGTTCTGAAGCTTGAAATTTGCAACTGTTTCACGGATGGAGCGCGGTCCGTTCTAAATATGTCGCTCTCGCCTCAGCGCCGCACACATTCGTCTTAAAAGTGTGCAACAGTTTCACGGATGGAGGGCGGGCCGTGTCGCATTCGCCTTAGCGCCGCGCACATTCGTCTCAAGAGTGTGCAACAGCTTCACGGATGGAGCACGGGCTGCTTTCAAAATGTCGCTCACATTCGTCTTAAAAGTTTGCAGCAGCTTCACGAATGGAGGGCAGGTGGTTTTCAAAATGTCTCGCGCCCTAGCCGCACACATTCGTCTTAAAAAATTTGTAACAGTTCGAAGAGTTCGTGAGGTTAAATTGAAATCCCAGGCACCGTATTCTGGCACGGTTCAGGGTTGTCCGGACGCGACAGCCACGTTGATTCGCGGCGTTGAAGTCCCAGGAATGGTGTTCGGGCACGGTTTATGACTGTCAGGACGCAACAATCAAGGTGACTCGCGGCGCTGAAGTCCCAGCAAGTGTGTATTGGGGCACGATCGAGGGTTCTTCGACTCGGGCACTTCTCGCAAGTCAAACGAATTATTGTAGGGACCTGTGAAAAGAAAACTTGGAGACAGGGCTTAGTGTACCATCGTTGACGCGTCTTGGGTTTACACTGATCCTTCTCCTCCTCCCACCCTCCCTGCTTCCCTCCCTCCTCCTCCTGCCCCTCCTCCACCTCCGTGTGAAGGGGTCGCCGCCTGCCGACTGCTTGAAGCCGGTGGTCATCAGCCAGCCGTTGGACACAGACTTCCGGAGCAGATCGAAGTAGCCTACAGCGTAGGTACGGGCCCCGACGCTGACCACGACAAGGACAACCTCTTCTCGCCACTCTGGGAGGACCTCGCGAGGCCCACCGCCCCGATCATCTTCCCCCGTACTCCCTCATATCCCCTATTGCCACCTCCTGCTTCCTCCGACCTGCCCCCCTCACGAGTCCATCCCGCCTTCTCCTCCTCCCCGACGAAGCCTGACACGGGATGGCGTCTTCACCATGCTGTGCATTCGCGGCGTGACCCCACAGGGCTAGAGGTCTCCCACTCCAGCGGATGACATGGCCTGCCCCCGCGTACCCCCGTGCACAAGACATGAAAGGACCAATTCGAGCCAAGAATCGATAACCGTGACAGGACCGGACCGGACCGGGCCGAGAAAGAGAGCATCAAAAATCCAACCAAATCGAACCGAAGTCGCGCAAAACCGAACTGGTTGGAACCGAACCGGACCAGAAACGCAACAGACCGGGAACTTGACACCCCCCGACGAAACGACAGGAGCAGAACCGGACGTGCCCCCACCGAACCGTCATCCCCTGACCTCGTCTTCGCTGCCGTTGTCGTCGTCGTCGCCGCCGTCGGCGTTGCCGTCGTCGCCGTCGGCGTCGTCGCCGTGCTGCAGACCGACTCAAGGATGGGTGCCCGTGCGGCCCGCAGAGCCAGGCACCCGAGGACCGAAGACGGCAGACCCCAGCCACACGGGACCGCCCTCGGCCCACGCGGCACCAACACCTCGAGCCGCCGCGCAGCCCCCACGCAGGACAGGCCAAATTCAAGCCCCCAGGGCCCCGACGCGCAGTCGACGCGCCGAGGCACCCCTCGAGAGCATTTTCCTCCGCATCCTCCTTGTCCTCCTCCTCCTCCTCCTCCTCCTCCTCCTCCTCCTCCTGTTACTGCTCCTCCTCCTCCTTATTCTCCTCTTCCTCCTCCTCCGCTTCCTGGTCCTTCTATGTATGTCTTCTCCTCCTCATCCTCCTCCTCCACCTCTTCCTCCTCCTCCTTATCCTCATCTTCCTCCTCCTCATCCGCTTCCTGGTACTTCTATGTATGTCTTCTTCTCCTCCTCCTCCTCCTCCTCCTCCTCCTCCTCCTTCTCGTCCTCATCCTCCTCCTCATCATCCGTTTCCTGGTCCTTCTATGTATGTATTATCCTCCTCCTCCTCCTCCTCCTCCTCCTCCTCCTCTTCATCCTCCTCCTCGTCCTCCTCCTCCACATCATCTTACTACGACTTATCCTTCTTCTTGTTCTTGCACTAGAACCACCACCACCACCACAACTACGACTACTACTACTGCTGTTACTGCTACTACTACTACTACTACTACTACTACTACTACTACTACTACTACTACTACTACTACTACTACTACGACTACTACTACTACTACTACTACTACTACTACTACTACTACTACTACTACTACTACTACTACTACTACTACTACTACTACTACTACTACTACTACTACTACTACTACTACTACTACTACTACTACTAACTACTACTACTACTACTACTACTACTACTACTACTACGACTACTAGTACGACTACTAGTACTACTAGCACTGCTCCTACTACTACTACTACTACTACTACTACGTACTACTACTACTACTACTACTACTACTACTACTACTACTACTACTACTACTACTACGACTACTAAAAATAATAATACCATTACTACTACTACTACTACTACTACTACTACTACTACTACTACTACTACTACTACGACTACTACTACTACTACTACTACGACTACTACTATTATTACTACTACTACTACTACTACTACTACTACTACTACTACTACTACTACTACTACTACTACTACTATTTCTACTACTTCTACTACTACTGCTACTACGACTACGACTACGACGACTACTACTACTACTACTACTACTACTACTGCTTATTCACCCACTCCTCCCTCTCCAACCTCATGCCTGGTACCCCTCAATGGGGGGAGGGAAGCTGAGGATTGAGCTGGCTGTCGTGACGGGGGTATCCTGCCTTTACTGATTTGCATCACCCGTCCATCCCCGCATTCCCTCCCCTCCACTCTCAGTCTACCCTGTTCCCTCATGCTACTTTCCACATTCCTCTTTACACGGCCACAACCAAGCTTCCCTGTAATGGTATTACGGTGTCATGGTTCCGCGGTGGCGTGCGTAAACCGTCGGTCCTTGAAGGTGTAGCCAAACCGACCCGAAACAGACCCTCCTTGCCACAACGCTGCCCGCGATCCAGCATGTTCTGATAACCCTGTGTGCAATCTTGCCCGATGCTGAAACCAAGACATGCAAGCATCAAATCGCTGCATTGGCCCGTTGTCGATTATCCCAGAGATGCTAGTCTCATTGTTGGCTTCACGCGCGGGCAAAGTCATGCGAAGTCAAGAGCAGTCGTACAGAGCATGTGGTGCAAAGCGCTGGGCATCATCTCGAAGGGTAGCTACATCAAACTGGAAGCACCCATTCAGCCGTGGTCAATTCCGGCAGGGACGCATGATGACGCAACACGGAAAAATGGTAACATCAACGCACGCCCGAGGCAACTATGTTGGACCAGCCACTGCATGGTGACATGCCCACGGCATCGGCCGATATTCCTCCCTCCCATCCCCTCCCATACCCTCGCCTGCTGCTTGGCAGAACCACCCCGAGGCCTGATGGGTTCCGCTTGTCGGTGCGCTTGACTGGAAACCGACCTCCGACACCTCCCAGGAACGCGAAGATCGCCTCGGTGGGTTGGCCACCGTCGCACATTTCATAGCAGGTGTGCAGCTTGCAGTAGGCCTTCTCCTTGCACGGAAGAGAAGGCAAGACGCCAGAGCACTGTCCTGCCCCTTCTTCGCGACATACCCGATTGCCCCGCCTCCACCTGTCCTGTCCTGCTAATTTGAACTGTCCCTCCTCCGCCTGACGCGTGCGCACGATCGCTCCACTACTCCCCTGCTGCGACGAGCCTCCTGGAACCTGACACTGCCTCGAACGACACCGATAACAACGTCTTCTCAACTGTTTTCCTACGGAGTCAGAAGATGACCAAAAGTAAGGTAATACGAACATCGAGCAGACTCGCTCATCATACCACCATGGTCTTGCCCCAACGCCAAGTCCCATCACATTCGCCGCCCCAGTTCGCAGCCGTCCGCTGACCCTGTGGCCCTTCATGCTCAGCACGACTGCGTGCACCTGGAGGCCCCCCCCCGGTTCTCGCACCACGCTCGGGGCCTTCGTGGGCCCTGGAAACGACAGGGCCGTTTTCTTTACAGGTTCCGTTCTGCCGTTTTTGTTGCCGGTTCCGACGCCGTTTTTTTACCAGTTCCGTCGCCATTTTTTTACCGGATCCGGCTCCGGTTCCAATCCTGGAGCCGTTTTTTTGCCGCTTCCGGTCGCCGTTTTTTCCCTGTTTCCATTTTCAAAACCATTTTTTGGAAACGGTGAAAAAAAACGACCCTGCCGTTTCCGGGGCCCACAAAGCTCGGGGCACCCCGGCCACTCGCACGGAGCCGAGCACCACGCCTGCCCATCTCGTGCGTCTGCTCCTGATCCTCCGTGCGCCTGCTCCTGGGCCCTGATCCTCCGTGCGCCTCCTGAGCCTCCGTGTGTCCTGAGTACACGCGCCTCCTGATCCTCCGTGCGTCTGCTCCTGGGTCCTGCCCGCCCTCGTCCTCCTCCCCGCCCTCCCCCTGCCGGGCCCGCTCACGGGCACGGTTCTCCCCCTCCCTCCCCCGGCTTCTCCTGCCCATCCACCTCATCGTCGCCCTCCTCGCCCTCGTGCTCATCTTGGCCTTCCTCATCATGCTGCTCTCATCTCCCCTCCTCGTACTGTTGTCCGTTCGAATCCCCCCCATATCCCCTCATCAGTTCGAGAATAATCACCAGCAGCAGCAGCAGCAGCACCATCAGCATCGTCATCATCGTCGCATGCTTCGTCACAATTGTCATCATCATCATCATCATCATCATCATCATCATCATCATCATCATCATCATCATCATCATCATCATCATCATCATCATCATCATCATCATCATCGTCATCGTCATCGTCGCTCCTCGTCGTCTCCGTCAATCATCGTCTCCATCGTCCCCCGTCTCCTTTCTCTGGGCCCTCCTCCTTAAGCGCGCCAGCCAAACTGACATTGAGCAACGTCGTAGCTGAGTCGAAGGGAAGCCCCTTCCCTTTGATCCCTTTCCCCCCCAGGGTGGGGTCCCCGGGTGAAGCGGTCCTGGGGGGCGACACCCGTGGGGTGACACCTGGGAGGTGGGTCGCCCCCCCGGATACGCATCCCCCAAGGGCGTCTTGTGGCCCAGAAGAGCCCTAAGAAGCGGCAAGAGTGCCCCAAGAGGCCCCCAAGATGGGTCCTTGAGGGCCCCGAATCGCCGAATGTTCGGTCCAAGACGCCGAAGTAGCCTCCAGACGGCTCAAAAGTTGTTCGAACGCCCCAAGAGGCCTCCAAGAGCACTCCCAAGAGGGCCCCAAGGGGCAAACATCACAGATGTTCGAAAGTTTTCGAAAAATGTTGGCGTTCTCCCGACGCTCCAAGACAGCCGAAGAGGCCCCAAAAATCGCCCAAGAGGCCTCCAAGAGAGCCCCAACGCGACCCAAGAGGGCCCCAAGACCGCCCAAGAGGCTTCCAAGACAGCCCAAAAGGCCCCCAAGACGGCTCCAAGACGGGGGATCCGAACGGATATTTCGAGCCCTCGGACTGAAAGGCTCCCAGCCCAGATGCCTCCAAGAAGCCCCCCAAGAGGCCCCAAGTGTTCCCCAAGAAGCCCCCCAAGAGGCCCCAAGAGTCCCCAAGAGGCCCCCAGGAAGCGCCAAGAGGCCCCGACGAGGCTTCAAAGGCCCCCCAAGAGGCTCCCAAGCGGCCCCAAAACTAACCCCCAAGAGGCCCACGCCAACGCTCGTCGTCGTCGTCGTCGTCGTCGTCGCCCTCGTCGTCGTCCTCGTCGTCGTCGTCGTCGTCGTCGTCGGCGTCGTCGTCGTCGTCGTCCTCCTCGTCGTCGTCGTCGTCCTCGTCGTCATCCTCGTCGTTGTCGTCGTTCAGGGTTGGCGGCACCAGCCATAAGGCCTGTCCAATAATCACCAGCAGCAGCAGCCGCAGCATCATCAGCATCGTCATCATTGTCGTATGCTTCGTGACCGGTGTCACCATCATCGTCATCGTCGCCATCGTTAGCATCATTGTAATCGTACCCAGCCTCATCCTCAACAGCATCAGTAGCATCTTCGTCACCATCATCATCCAGATCACAGTCACGATAATTACCATCATCACCACCATCATCATCAATAGCATCATCATCATCATCATCATCATCATCATCATCATCATCATCATCATCATCAGAAACAGCATCATCAGAAACATCAGCATCATCATCATCATCATCATCATCATCATCATCATCATCATCATCATCATCATCATCGTCACCACCATCAGCATCATCATAATCATCAGAATCACCATCGTCATCATCAAAATCAGAATCAAAATCACACTCATGATCAGAATCATCATTATCACCGCCTTCGCCTTCATGAAGATCGCTATTTCCCTCCCGGCTAGATGCTCCATCCCCCTCCCCCCTTTCCTCTAAATCTCGTCTGTCCTAAGTCATCCATCCTGCTCCTTCTCCTGTTCCTCCTCCTTCTCCTCCTCCTCATCCTCCTCCTCCTCCTCCTACTCCTCCTCCTCCTCCTCCTCCTCCTCCTCCTTCTCATCCTCCCCCTCCCACCCCTCCTCCTCCTCCGCCTCCTCTTGTCCTCCTTCTTCTCCCCCCCCCGCCTGGCCGTCCTCTCGCTACCCGTTTTTCCCATCCTCATCCTGCGCCCCCCATGCCTCCCCCCAGCCCCGGGCTCCAGAATTGGCACCCAGACCTCCTGAGGGTCCTGGCAACGCGAGTAGAGCAGCTCTCCGTTCTCGTCCACCTGGCTGGCCACGAGGCACAGGAGGGACAGGAGAAAAATGAGGCCGAACAAAAGGGAAAGGAAGGACTGTTTGGGGGAGGACGCAAGATGAGGAAGGAGGAGAGGAGAGAAGGGGGGCAGAGAACGAGCGGAAGACAGAAAGAAAGAAAGCGAGAGAGAAGCGGAAGGAGGAGAAAGGAGGGAGGGGGTTGAGGAAGGAGGGAAGCGGGAGAAGGGCGCCGACGACCGAGAAAGGCTCGACGAATTCAAATGCAAAGGGAAGGGGAATGCTCCACCAGCTTGCCTCTGTCCTTCGACAGGGTGACCAGCTGCTGTCAGAGAGGCATGGGAGGAGGAGGAGGAGGAGGCGGAGGAGGAGGAGGAGGAGGTCCTTCGCCAGCTGGGCCGCCCGCTGCTCGCATCGTTTGACCCAGACTGGGTAGCCATCCTTCTCCTCGTCCTCCTCCTCCTCCTCCTCCTCCTCCTCCTCCTCCTCCTCCTCCTCCTCCTCCTCCTCCTCCCCCCTCCTCCTCTTTCTCCTCCTCCTCCTCCTCCTCCTCCTCCTCCTCCTCCTCCTCCTCCCATCTTCTCTGCGAGCAGCTGCATGCGATGGATTTCATGGAAGGCCAGCACGGCCACTTGAAGGCCACCACCACTTCCGGCAGCAGGAACAGCAGGCAGGAAGCTCTTCCCTGACCCCTTTGGCCAGCGACCGCTGGGTTCGCTGTGTTCCGTGATGTCGGGCGTGTCCTTGGTCCTGGAGGCGAGGCGGCGTTTGCACCAGTCCGAGTGCCGCAGGTTCTTGAAGCACCCGCAGAGACTGCAACGCCACGTGGACCGCTCCGAGTCCTGCCAGACCCCAAAGTGCTCTGACTGCCAGCTGTTCCCTCCTCCTCCTCCTCCTCCTCCTCCTCCTCCTCCTCCTCCTCCTCCCCCCCCTCCTCCTCCTCCTCCTCCTCCTCCTCCTCTTCCTCCTCCTCCTCCTCTTCCTCCTCCTCCTCCTCTGACCCCGTGGTTGCCTCTTCCAAGGTGCTTTGACTGCCAGCCGTTCCCGCTCTTGCCGAGGCGTCGTGTTCCGAAGGACGGAGGACGGCCCGAGGTGCCAAGCCCTGGAGCAGCAGCGCTCGGCTCGGGTCAGGGTGCGAAGTGGCCGAGAGTTGAGAGCTGTCGCGGGTCAGCGGCCTCCACTTGATCATCCCTGGAAGCCATCGTGTCGAGCCAAAACGGCCCTCGAGGGGGAGGAGGGAGAAGGTGTGAGAAAGGCGAGGATTTTACGAGGGAGAAGGCAGAAGGAGGAGTGAAGTGATATGAGGACGGAGCACGAGAGAGCCGACAGGAAGAATGCGAGGAGGAACAGGAAGAACAGGAGAAGAAGGTGGAGGAGAAGGAAGACATCAGGGAGAAGGAGGAGAAGGACAAAGAGTCTACGCAGCCGAAGGATAGGGTCTGGACTTGAGGGCTACTGCTACATGGCAATGTAGCCGATGGAGGCCAGGATGGGCACCGAAATGAGAACCTGGAGCAGTCGGATCCCCCACCTGCTCGCTCCCCCTTCTCCTCTTTCCACCTTCCCCACCCGCCCCCAAAGCAGCGCCGACAGCTGCACTAGAATTCAAGCGCTGCGCGGCGATCCCACCCTCTCGCTAGGTGCATGCCCTTTCCGACCTGTCTGGGTTACACTCGCGCAGGGGCCATGCTCATCTGATCCATATCGGCAGAAGTTGCATGTGGAGTCCACCAGTGGGAAGGGGAGAAAGAAGCAGGAGAAAGAAGGTGGGAGGGAGGGAGGAAGAGATGGAGGAAGAGATGGAGGAAGGGGAGGAAGAACAAATATGATAACCAAGAGGAAATGCCGGCGGAGGAGCACACGTCGACCCCACCACGCATCCTCTCGAAGTCAGAGCCTGCTCGCGCGTCGTCATCTAGAGTTCAACTGAGGGCACCTGCAAGAAGCCGTCCCAGTGAACTCCCCCCTTCTCCTCCACCTTCTCCTCCTCCGCCTCCTCCACCTCATCCTCTTCCTCTTCTCCCTCATCCTCCTCCTCCTTTTCGTCATCCTCCTCCTCCTTTTCCTCCTCCTTCTCCTCCTCCACCTCCTCCACCTCATCCTCCTCCTCCTCTTCTCCCTCATCCTCCACGTCCTCCTCCTCAAAAGTGAAGGCAGCAGGGTACCGTTGCCCTGGCTGCCGGGCCTGGCGCGCAGCGCTAGTGAAGCCTTAACCACGCCCCCAGACTGGGGGGTCTGGGCGCGAAGCGGATCACTTAGCGTCTCTGGCTGAACGGCAACCGACACCGCAGCCACCACCACCACCACCGGGAGGAAGGACGCCAGCGTTCGTCGGCGGCCCCGTCGCCCGCCGCGTCGCCAACCGCCGGGGGGGCGGGGCAGGAGGAAGGGAGGAGCCCGGAAAATTCCCGGCGGAAACGCGCCCCCGAAAGCACAGCCGCCGCGGCGGCCACTGGCGCAGAGGCCGGCGAGCGCCTGCATGATCGCGGTGATAAGGCAGCAGGCCATCACCTGCAAGTCAGCCTGGCGCCGCACTGAGCCACCAGCCACCGTGGTGACCCATCCCGACTTCGAAATGACCCAGGGTGAGCCCCCACCAAACCGGCGCGACCCGCAACTTAGCCCCGAGTTCGAGGCGACGTCCAGTAAAACGCGGGCACTCGGCCCAGAAGTGTCGCGTCGATGCCCGAGCGTGTCCACAGACAAAGGGGCAACCGCACGCGCGGCAGGAACCCTGGCCGCGCCTGCGGGTCGGTGCACACGGCCCCGCCCCTCCAGACCGCGAGTAAGGTCGCGGCGAATCGCCTTAGCGATCGTCGGAACTGCGCCCACGACGGCGAGCTCTGCGAGATCCCCTCCTCGTCGCGTCGCGGCCACCGCCCCCACGTTCCCCGGGAGCGAAGGAGCACCGCCCGGGCGCACTCCTGGACAGCGTGCTGACCGCGATCGGACGAAGCGTCGAAAGACCCCTGGAGCGCGCGGGCGCTGCTCCCGGAAGCTGGGGCTCGCGCTTCGCGGCTGTCGTCGGCGGCAACAGCGGCGACCGCCGCACGCCCTCGGGGAGCGACCTGGCCGAAACTGGGAGCAACCCGAGGACCCTGGAGGGCTCCGAAAGCGCCACCGACAGCAGCCGCGACGCGGGAACCCCCCGAGCAGCCATCAAACGGCGCACGCAGTGCCGTAAATCGGGCGCAGCGAGACCCGCTCGGCGCACCATCGCCGCTCGCAACACCAAGCGGTCAGACTCGGGGGCAGGACCGCGCGGAACGGCGCCGACCATCAATGGTTAGGGGCGACGCACATCAAAGCCGCAAACTCCCGGATCCGTTGCCCGCCGGGGACCGAGCGGACCTGGTGCTCGGCGATCTGAGCGCCAGACCATACCTGCAGTCCCTTCGCGCTTTCCGCATAGCCGAGCCGCCGATCAGTCTCCGCCATGATCGCTGAGGCCCCGTCCTGGTTCACCGCCGCGGCGGCCTTCAGGGGCCGGTCGTCCACGTAGGACCATGCGCGCGCCCTCGGTACCGAGCGGACCGCGACATGCAAGGGGTGGAGCACAACACTAAGGACCTTGCCCGAGGGGGGCTCGCCAGGCAGTAATACCCGAGGTGGGGTGCAGGGCAGCAGCTAGGTTGCCAACCACCGAGCAGGACTTGGGGGCTCGCCACGAGGCCTCGAGAGCAACCAGCACAGACGGCTGAGTGCCTAGGTACCTGAAAGCGGCACCTGTCACGCCGTGGTCCACAGTTGTGGGCCCAGCACAGGTCGACCTCAGCTCCCGCGTCGCCGGACGCGGCAGCCCAGTCACCCACGGAGGCCACGGCGCTCCGCTCCCCGAAGGCCTCGGCAGAGAGGCCCTGCAGCTTGGCAGCCTCCCACCCGTCGAGCCTGGACGCGCCGCGGGTATCCCAGAGGACATGCTGGAAGGGGACGCCTGGCGAGGTTTGGGGGGCCCCGGCCCCCCACTCGCAGGCGACGGCAACCTATTCCAACAGGGCGCCTCTTGGGTCAGGGACCAAACCACGGCTCCCACTCCAGCCGCATATCTTCGGCCGAGACTGGGGCTGGCGCGGGATCCCGCGTCGCTTGGGCGGCCACGGCCGCAGTGCGGGCGCCCCACCTGCCGAACTGAGGCCGCCGCGCCTTGAGGGCGTGCTCCTGGGCGGCCTGCTCCAGCACCAAGCGCCTGGGACAGAGCTTGGGCCGCCTCGCCGACGTTAGGGGGGAAACCCCGGACCAACCCATCCTGGCAAGCGGTGCTCCACCTTCGGGCGACCAGGGGCGGCAAGGGCGCCGCGGTACCTTCGGAGCTCGCCCTCCCGGCCGTCACGACCAACCTATGGAGCCGGAGCAAGAGTCGTTCGCGGATCGTGGCCTCGACCCGCGAGGGGCCACTCGGGCCGCGTCTCAGTCGAAACGCCCTTGGGTTTCTCGGCAGCCTGGGTGACGCTGACAGCACTTGGGGCGGCGGCCGTGTGCAACGCGGCCGCGGCGCGCCGGTGGCACCTCGCCCACGCCTCGGCTGGTCAGTCAGAGAGGCTGACAGGACTGGGGGTGGGGGTGGGGGTAGTGCAACGCACGAGGACATACTAGCACAGTGTGTTCTCCTCGGAGGCGTGCGTCCGACCCGAACATGTATCACAAACATATTGTAGTACATCGTTTCCCGAGCGGTAGGGCTAGAAAGCGCCACCGAGGATATACTGCAAGATTTCTCGGCGCGCGCCTCCCTGTTGGGGACGACGCACACGTCGTATTAGTACGTTGGGGTGGCGTCGAAATAAGGCCCCCCCAGTCGTCGGCCGCAGCAGCCAGCCGCGCCGCTTCGTCCAGCGAGGGCGCGCGGGCCAGCTCGTAGCAGGCCGACCTCCTGAGGCGGACCGCCTGGGCCGGCGCCTGGGCCGCCTCGGGGGGGTGGAGGTCGACGTCGTACGCCACCCCAAAATGGTGGAGGACGGCTGGCAAGAGAGCAGCGTCCACCGCCTCCGCCGAGCAGCAAAGGCCGACGAGGCGAGACGGAAAAGTGAGGGAAACCGTGGTCGGGGGTCAGTCGCCACCGCCCAAGGAGCCTCGGCGGTGTCACTGTACTCCTCCTCCTCCTCCTCCTTCTCCTCCTCCTCCTCCTCTTCCTCCTCTTCCTCCTCCATTCCTTTTCCTTACAAAGAACTCCTCCCTGTCGAACCCTGAGGATGGTCAGTGGGCCGGGCGTTTCGCTTGAGACTTCCTCACCACGTACGACCCTGAAGCTTAAAACTTGACAATAGCTTCACAGATGAAGGGCGGGTCGCTTGCAAAATGTGGCTCTCGCCTTAGCGCCCGAGACATTCGTTTTTTAGTTTGTAGGAATTTCACGGATTGAGAGCGGGTCATTCTCAAAATGTGGTTCTCGCCTTAGCGCCGCGCACATTCGCTTCAAAACATCGCAGGAGATTCACGAATAGAGGGCGGTCCCTTTTCAAAATGTGGCTCTCGCCTGAGCACCGCGCACCCTCGTCCTGAAAAAGCGCACAAAAGTTTCACGAATTTCCACTGGCAGCGTGCCATGATTAGTGTTTTGGACGGACTGAGGACTGTGAGACCGCACCAGTTACAATGATTCGCGGTGATAAACTCCCAGGAATGGTGTTCTGGCACGATTCCCGATCGTCCAGACGCACCAGTCATGCTGATTCGCGGCGTTGAAATCCCGAGAATGGTGTTGTGGCACGCTTCAGGATCCTCAAACTGTTGTCTCCCAACGAAGCAGCGCCCTCAGTGGAAGTGCACCCTTGTAGGCGCCAGCGAAAAGGGAACTTGGAGGAAGGGAGGGTTTATTCCAACATCACTCATGAGTCTTGAGTTTACACTTGTCTTCCTCCTCCTCCTCCTCCTCGTCCTCCCCCTCCTCCTCCTCTCTATTCCGACCGCACGCCGCCAACGGTCCGTCGGCGCCGCGGACTGCCCTAGGCAAACACGGCGGAGCTCTCCCTTCTCTTCCTCCTCCCCCTCCTCCCCCATGATTATCCATTCTTCTCCTCATCGTGAAAGGCCACCGGCATGTAATCGTCCACGATCGTATACGTCCACTCGCCGTCGACGTTGAACCGCACGCCATACACGCCCACGTCCACATCGTACTTGATGAAGAACTTCTGCACGTCGCTCCCGTTCACAGCCTTGAGGCACCCCCTGATTCATGCTGAATGAAAACGAAGAGGAGGAAAAACGAAGGAGGAGAAAGAGCAGCATCTTCTCATTCCCCTCCCACCTCCTCCGCTCCCCTCCCTGACGTTTGTTTTGGAGGGGTCGCGAGGTGGCAGGGGGCCCTTTTTCGCCCATGATGGTTCCAAGAGAGCATCAGAAGCTCAAAGACGGCCTCCATGGCAGCTCAAGGTAGCCGAAGATGGCTCAAGATAGCTTCCGACATACGTCCTAGAAGGCCACAAGACGGTTCCAAGTGCTCTCGGAGCCCCCGAATGACACCCCGAGGAAGCCAAAATCCTTCAAACACCTAAAGACAATCAAATATGTTTGAATTCCCGTCGTTTCGCTTCCGATGCGTTTTTTGAGGCCTCGAAACAGCCCCGAGATGGCCCAAGAGAGGCCCAAGAGGGGTCCAAGGGGCCCCCAAGACGGCCCCAAGAGCGTCCCAAGAGGGCCCCAAGAGACGATGTTGATGGCCACAGGGGGGAAGAGGCAAATTTGCGACCCCCTCCTTTTTCGATGGCCTCCAAGATGGCCCAAGAGGGCCCTAAGAGGGCCCCAAGACCCCCAAAAGAACCCCAAGAGGACCCCAAGATCCCCCGAAAGCGTCCCAAGAGGGCTCCAAGAGGCGACCTCGAGGGCTATGTCCTCGTTTTCGTTGTCCTCCTCCTCCTTCTCCTTTTCCTCCTCATCCACCTCCCCCTCATCGTCCTCGTTCTCGTCATCGTCCTCGTCATTGCCCTCATCGCCTTCCTTTTCCCGTCAGCTCTCATGGGCAGGGTTTCTGAGTGTGCTGGTGGCGATACTTTTTTTTGATTTGCGGCCCGCAAGGAGAAGTCCAGAGGGCGTGTCACTAGGCAATGGGGCGCAATGCCAGATAATTAGAAATGCAGAAGACCACTGGGCGAATGCCAGCGGAAGCCCACGAGGAGGCGTCCAGACGACGCAAGCTCGCAAGCGGAGCTGCCACAGACTGTCGGCAGACTGTGCACAAGCCAGGACCCACAGGTGGGGAAACCTGACCAGCGGCCTGCAAGGAAAAGCCCAGAGTGCAAGACAATTGCACAAGCAGGAGCCGGGCCAGAAATGCCGGTTGGACGCGCAGGCCGATGCCACGCGGCCCAGCAGCCCGATGCCGAGAGTGCACATGTGCTGGTGGCGATACGCGGAGCGTGAAACATATAGTTTCTCCACCCATGGCCTGATCTCGATCCTCCAACATCTCCTCCTCCTCCTCCTCCTCCTCCTCCTCCTCATTATCATCATCATCATCATCAGCATCATCATCATCATCATCATCATCATCATCATAATCATCATCATCAGCATCATCATCATCAGCATGCTCATCCAGCCACTTCTTCTCATACCCCTACTCCTATGACCCCCATTCTGCGAAAGGGGACTGAAAGGGGGTGTTCAAAACTAGCACACCAGTGGCAGCAGGGCCCTCGAGAGGGACAGCTTGCGGCGACCACTGGGTGCGAAACCACCCAACCGGCGTCGGCCACAGGAAGCTCGCAGTGGGGCGCCACGGGGGCGTCCTGCTCCTGCTCCTCCAACTCCGACTCATTCTCCTTCACCATCATCATCACTTCCACAACCACCATGATCACCATCACCACCACCATCACCGCCACCACCACAATCGTCCTCATCGTCGTCGTCACCATCATCAGCATCATCAGCATCAGCAGCAGCATCATCATCGTCATCGTCGTCATCATCATCAGCAGCATCAGCATCATCATCATCACCATCAACATCAGCATCATCAGCAGCATAGCAACACCACCACCACCACCACCACCATCATCATCATCATCATCATCATCATCGTCATCATCAGTATCATCGTCGTCATCAGTACCAGCGTCAGCCTTACCACCACAATACATCATCATCAGCAGCAGAATCAGCATCATCGTTATCATCGTCATCGTCATCATCAGCATCATCAGCATCATAATCAGCATCATCAGAAACATAATCATCGTCATCATCATTAACCTAATCATTATCATCAACATCATCATCATCATCATCAACATAATCGTCATCATCAGCAGCATCACCATCGCCACCACCACCACCACCACCACCATCATCACCATCACCATCACCGTCGTCAACATCGTCTTCGCCAGAATCAGCATCACCATCATCAATATCAGTATCGTCATCGTCAGCATCAGCGTCCTCAGCATCATCATCAGCAGCATCATTAGCGACAGCATTAGCATCATCGACATCATCATCGTCATCATCATCACCATCAGCATCCTGAACATCATCATCACCGCCACCACCACCGTCATTATCATAATCATCATCATCATCAGCAGCATCAGCAGCATCAGCATCATCATAATCGTTATCATCGTCATCAGCGTTATCATCAGCAGCATCATCATCATCATCGTCATCAGCGTCATCATTAGCAGCATCATCATCATTAGCAGCATCGACACCATCATCGTCATCAGAATCGTCATCAGCATCAGCAGCATCATCGTCATCAGCATCTTCATCAGCATTATCAGCATCGTCGTCAGACTCAGCATCACCATCACCATCAGCATCAGCATCAGCATCATCATCATCAGCATCGTCGTCATCAGCATCATCATCAGCAGCATCATCATCAGCAGCATCATCATCACCATCGTCACCAACATCATTATCATCAGCATCATCATCGTCAGCACCATCATCGTTATCATCATCATCATCATCATCATCATCATCATCATCATCATCATCATCATCATCATAATAATAATAATAATAATAATAATAATAATAATAATAATAATAATAATAATAATAATAATAATAATAATCGTCGTCATCGTCACCATCATCGTCGTCATCATCATCGTCATGCCACTCATCCATCCACCCATCCATCCATCCTCATTGTCATCCTCATCCTCATCCTCCCTCTCTCTCTCCTCCCACTGGCCCGACCCCATTCCCGAACCACTCGGCAAGACTTCCGTCTCAGGAGCGCAGGGCACCCCGCAGACCACGAGCCTGGCCACCGCGTTGCGATCGTGCTGGGCGGACGGGTCGGCGGCCAGAGCCAGCGGGTCAGGAGGGTGAGGAGGAGGGGGGGAAGGATGGAGGGAGGCAGTGCCCTCCTCCTCCTCCTCCTCGTCCTCCTTCTCCTCCTCCTCCTCCTCCTCCTCCTCCTCCTCCTCCTCCTCCCCTTTCTTTTGATCTTCCTGATCGTCCTCCTCCTCCTCCTTTTCGTCCTCCTCCTTCTCCTCCTCATCCTCCTCCTCCTCCTCCTCCCCCTCCTCCTCCCCCTGATCCTCCTGATCCTGATCTCCTCCCGTTCTACCTCCTGCACAGTTCACACGATTAACAGCAGTCAGAGGTGAGTAACGCCACGAACGCGAGCGGGTGGAAGGGAAAGACAGGTCAACAAGAAATCAATGTGCTGCTGCGCATGTGAAGTGCAAGCTAGCCCGCACCGAGGGCCAAGAGCCGAGGGCCGAGAGGAGGTCTATGTGCCGATGCCCCTGGCAGGCGAGTGCACAATTGACAGTTAATAGTTCCCTGGTTACGATAGCATCAGAGGAGCCCCACCACCCTCCCGACGTCCCACGCGTACGTAGTGTAGGGTCGAGGGTAAGTTGCTATACGTGAGCCCTTAAAACGTGGGCCCCGGTGCGCGTCTTACAAAATGCCCTACGCGTTGCTCTGCGGAACCTGGGACGTGGATAATGGCAAGCCACTGTCGGAGGCCTCGCGGGAAATACGCTCGCTCGCTCGCTCGCTCGCTCGCTCGCTCCTCCTCCTCCTCCTCCTCCTCCTCATCCTCATCATCATCATCATCATCAGAATCATCATCATCATCATCATCATCATCATCATCATCATCATCATCATCATCATCATCATCATCATCATCATCATCATCATCATCATCATCATCATCATCCCGCTCCTCCTGCTCCGATTTCTATCCCTCCTGCTCCTCCAACTCCTCCTCTTCCAGGTCCTCCTCCTCCTCCTCCTCTTCCTCCTCCTCCTCCTCCTCCTCCGCTTCCGCTTTCGCTTCCTCCTCCTCCTCCTCCTCCTCCTCCTCCTCCTCCTCCTCCTCCTCGTTCTCCTCCTCCTCCTCCTCCAATACAATTTCTTATCCATAACTCCTCCCTGTCGCACCCCGAGGCAGGTCGAAAGGGCGGGCCAGACGTTCCACCTGTGACTTCCTCCCCATGTATGACACTGAAGCTCCAAAATTCGTAACAGTTTTCACTAATGGAGGGCGGGTGATTTTCGGAAGGTGGCTCTCGCCTCAGCGCCGCGCACATTCGTTTAACAGAAAGGGCAGAGCTTCACGGATTGATGGTGGGCCGTCTTCAAAATGTGGGTCTCGCCTTGGCGCCGCGCGCATTCTTATTAAAATGTGCAAGAGTTCCACGGATTGAAAGCGGCGCGTTTTCAACATGTACCTCTCGCCTTAGCGCCGCGCACATTCGTTTTAAACATGTGCAAGAGCTTCACGGATTGAGGGCGGCTCGTTTGGCGTTTTGGAAAGATTCCAGGTTGTGAGCATTGAATAAATTAAGTTGATTTGCGGTGTTGGTGTCACAGGACTGGTGTTCTGGCACGACTCAGGACCGCCAAGACGCCACAGTCATATGGATCCGTAGCTTGGAGTCCAAAGAAAAGTGTTTTGGCATGCTTCAGGATCTTCAAACGGTTGTCTCCCAACGAGGCGGTTCCCTCCGTGGAAATCAACCCGGTAGGAGCCTATGGAACTGGAGCTTGGAGGGAGGTGTATTCCAACGTCGTTGATGCGTCTTGGTGTTCCACTGGTCCTCCTTTTTGTCCTCCTCCTCCTCCTCCTCCTCCTCCTCTTCCTCCTCCTCCTCCTTCTCCTCATCATTATGAGCATCCTCCCCTTCCACTTCTTCCTTTTCCTCCTCCTCCTCCTCATTCTCCTGCTCCTGATCCTTCCTCCAAATTATCCTCCTCCCCCTCCTGCTCGACTTACGCTTCCGCTTCCGCTTCCGCTTCATCCTCCTGGTCCTCCTCCTCCTCCTCCTCCTCCTCCTCCTCCAACTCCTCCTCCTCCTCCTCTTCCGCCTCCTCCTCCTCCTCCTCCTCCTCGTCCTCCTCCTCCTAATCCTCCATGCCTTTTCCTTGTGAATAATTTCGCCCTGTCGCACCCCGAGGCCAGTTTTTAGGGCGGGCCGGGCGTTTCGCCTGAGACTTCCTCACCATTTATGACCCTGAAGCTAAAGAATGACAACAATTTCACAGATGGAAGGCACGTCGCTTTCAAAACGTGGCTCCCGCTTTAGCGCCGCACATATTCCGCTTAAAAGTTTGAACGAGCTTCTCGGATTGAGGGCGGGTCGTTTTCAAAACGTGGCTCTGGCCTTAGCGCCGCGCACATTCGGTTTAAAATTCGAAAGTACTTCACGGATTGAGGGCGGGCCTTTTTTTGAATGTGGCTCTCGGCTTAGCGCCGCGCGCATTCGCTTTTACAATTTGAAAAAGCTTCACGGATTGAGGGCGGGCCGTCTTCAAAATGTGGATCTCGCCTTAGCGCGGCGCACATGCGTTTTAAAAAACTGAAAGAGCTTCACGGATTGAGGGCGGGTCGTTTTTGTTAGTGTAGCTCTCGCTTCAGCGCGGCGTACATTCGTTTTAAAAATTTGAAAGAGCTTCACGGATCGAGGCCAGTGAATTCCCCAAACAGCTTGCTGAACGGGGTGCTGTTGTGATAAAAGCTAACTCCGGCCGAGGGAATTCAAAGCAGAGACATCCTCAAAAAAATGTGGTGGTCCGGGCCGTTTCGCCTGAGACATCCTCGCAACTCTCGTTTCTGAGTTGTCTGGGATTGGGCGTTTCGCGTGAGACATCCTCCATCTGAGTTCCCAGATGCCGCGCAAGAGGTGGTCCGGCCCGTTTCGCCTGAGACATCCTCCAAACTCTTAGTTCCCAGATGCCGCGCGAGAGGTGGTCCGGCCCGTTTCGCCTGAGACATCCTCCAAACTCTGAGCTCCCAGATGCCGCGCGAGAGGTGGTCTGGCCCGTATCGCTTGAGACATCCTCCAAACTCTGATCTCTGAGATGCCGTGCGCGAGGTGGTCCGGCGCGTTTCGCCTGAGACATCCTCGCAACTCTGAATTCTGAGATGCCGCGCAAGAGGTGGTCCAGCCCATTTCGCCTGAGACATCCTCGAAACTCTGGGCTCCGAGATGCCGCGCGCAAGGTGGTCCAGCCCGTTTCGCCTGAGACATCCTCCAACCTCTGAGCCCTGAGATGCCGTGCGCGAGGTGGTCCGGCCCGTTTTGCCTGAGACATTCTCGCAACTCTGCGCTCTCTGATGCCGCGCGAGGTGCCCCGGCCCGTTTAGCTTGAGACATCCTCCAAACTCTGAGCCCCGAGATGCCGCCCAAAAGGTGGTCCGGCCCGTTTCACTTGAGACGTCCTCGCACTTTTGCATTCCGAGATGCCGCGCGAGAGGTGGTCTGGCCCGTTTCGCCTGAGACATCCTCGAACCTCTGAGCCCTTAGCTGCCGCGCAAGAAGTGGTCCGGCCCATTTCGCCTGAGACATCCTCCCAACTCTGACCTCGGAGATGCCGCGCGCGAGGTGGTCCAGCCCGTTACGCTGGAGACATCCTCGCAACTCTGAGCTGAGATGCCCTGCGCGAGGTGGTCCGGCCCGTTTCGCCTGAGGCATCCTCGCAACTCTGAGCTCCGAGATGCCGCGCGCAAGGTGGTCCAGCCCGTTTCGCACAAGACATTCTCGCAACTCTGAGCTCCCAGATGCCGCGCAAGAGGTGGTCCAGCCTGGGGGCCCAGAAGACCACATGTTACATATCCCCCCTGGGACCCTGAGCCCCAGGAGGCCCCAGAGAGCTTCAGGAGGCCGCAGGACGCCCAGGACAGGCCCCAGGGGTCCCCAGGAGATTCCCAGGAGGCTCCCAGGAGGCCCCAGGAGGCCCCCTATCAGAACGTGTCATGTTAATACTCATCTGGTGTCGATTCGTTGATTTTTCCGAATCTTGTGGCCCCCCCCCCATTTTGGGGGGCCCCGACGGCCACATGCTAGATATCCCCCCCTGGGAGCCCCAAGAGGCTTCAGGAAGCCCCATGTGGGGTCCAGGAGGCCACAGGAGGCCCAGGGGGAAGCCCCAGGAGGTCCCCAGGAGGCCCCAGGAGGCCTTAGAAGGCCCCCGCAACTCGGAGCTATGAGACGCCGCGCTCGAGGTGGTCTGGCCCGTTTCGCCTGAGACTTCCTCGCAGCACGTTTCGCCCGAGACATCGTCGCAACTCTGGGGTCCGAGATGCCGCGCGCGAGATGGTCCAGCCCGTTACGCTGGAGACATCCTCGCACAGATGGAGGGGGTCGGTTTCAATACGTGGATATCGCCTTAGCGCCGCGCGCATGCGTTGCAAACGTCTGCAACCCTTTCACGGATGAAAGGGGCTGTCGTTGTCATAACGTAGTTATCGCCTTAGCGCCGCTTTGTAGTTCTGGTTTTCAAAACGGTGCCTTCGCTTGAAGGCAGTGCACCTTCTCATGCACTAGCTTCACGGATGGATGGCGATTCCTTTCAAAAATGGTGCTCTCGCCCCAGCGCCGCGCGCATTCGTCATTCATGCGACGTTCGCTTGGATGGAGGACTGCACTTGTGCGTAATGGAGCACTCGTCGAAGGCTTCATAGAGTTTACAAACCATGGACTTCAGTTCACATATCGCTGCACGGATCCATGGCGGCTCTTCCTCAAAAGGGAGCTGTCGCGTGAGACGATATCGAAGTTCATGACCACAAGGGTCAGCCTGTACAACAGTCACACGGAAGGGGTCCTTTTTCAAAAGGGAGATGTCGCAGGACATCTCGCTGAACTGTGTGATCATTGTTTTCCGCGTTCCTGACTACGTGCCAGAAAGCGGCAGGGGGCAAGGCGCTCACTGTTCAAAGTGGGGCCCTCGCCAGAATGGCAGGCCCAACTGGCCTGGTCTGTCAGGAAGCGGCACTACTCGTACTGAAAAGGAAGACTCGCAGGGGCGCTTGAGGACACGACCTGGGACGGTAGGGTGTATTGCAGCATCGGTGACGCATCTTCGGTTTACTGTGATCCTCCTCCTCCTCCTCCTCCTCCTCCTCCTCCTCCTCCTCCTCCCCCTCCTCCTCCTCCTCCTCCTCCTCCTCCTCCTCATCCGCCTCCTCCTCCTCCTCCTCCTCCTCCTCCTCCTCCTGCTCCTCCTCCTCCGCCTCCTCCTCCTTGCGCGCGGACGGATCGGGGCACTCTGAGCTCGCAGCTGCGATGGATCCCACGGCCCCGAGGAGGAAGCACGTCCCGATCTGGCCTGGGCTGCGCCGGGGGACGCGGTGCCAGGAAGTGATGCGGGCGAGGAGCCAAGAACCGGGTCGCCAGGACCGGCCACCGTCACCCTCGAAGCATCCGCCTCCCACGGGCAACACCATCCCGTCTTGAGAATTATCAGGGGACCTCTGACATATGAAAGGTGGTCTCGGCAGCGAGGCCGTCAAGGTTCAGACTTTGCCTTGCTCCGCTGAAAGAGAGAGAGAGAGAGAGAGAGAGAGAGAGAAAGAGAGAGAAACCAAAAAAGGCAGTATAACTGTACATATGCATGTTCATATGATGTATGGATATACCACATGTATACCAATGTGTATAGATATGTCCTAAGAACACGCGCGCGTCGTGCGCACTGAAGTTCTAATTGACCCCAGAGACGGTAGCAGTATCCATGGGACTTATCCCGCGGTGTCTTCCTGGTGGCTACTGCTTACGCTTGCCTGATTTTCGGACGGGCACTGCGAAGCTGAAGGAGATGTCTGTAGTAGCGTACCCCCACCCCCTTCCCTTTACCCCTGTCTCCCTCCGAAGCCACTACGTCGTCGTCGTCGCCGCCGTCGTCTTCAAGGGACGGAGCGCGGAGGACAGAGGAGCAAGGGGGGAAGAGGTAGGATGGAGGGAAGGGGGAAGGAACAGCGATCAGCGAGCAGCGGAGAGGGAAGAGGGGGGCGGGAGGAGGGCAGCGGAGAAGGGGGAAGGGAGCAGAACTTCCCCACTCACGTCCACCTGCTCCATTTCCTCCCGTTCTCCTCCTCCTCCTCCTCCTCCTCCTCCCTCCTCCTCTCTCCTCCTCCTCCTCCTCCTCCTCCTCCTCCCCTCCTCCTCCTCCTCCTCCTCCCCTCCTCCTCCTTTCTTCCTCCTCCTCCTCCTCCTCCTCCTCCTTCCTCCTCCCTCCTCCTCCTCCTCCTCCTCCTCCTCCTCCTCCTCGTCCTCCTCCTCCTCCTCCAGCCCTTCAGGGCGTAGGTAGTTTAGGGCGTTTCCTCTTCCACCCCCTGTTTCCCATTCGGGGAGGGGCTCAGCAGAACCCCAAGGCGGCCCCAAGAGAGGCTCAAGACGGCCCCAAGAAGGCCCATAGAGGCAC